GAAATAGTAGATAGTAGAAAAAGGTTTGCAATAATTTCTTACATTTCTTCCTCCCATGTACTTCTGTGAGTTTTTGCCATAGTTGAAGTACTTGAAGGTTGGGTAGCCTGTGACATCATTGCTGGAACAAGATCCTGTCTGGCTGGTGCAGTCTACAGCAGCAAAGGCAACCTGGGGAAGGTGGTGATGGTAGTTGTGAGTGTGGTAGTAATGGTGGTGGCGGTGGTGATTCTAATGGTGGTGCTGGCACTGATGTTGAGGGTGATGGTGGTTGTGAGTGTAGTGGTGGTGAAAATGGTGATGGTGGTGGTAGTGACAGTGGTAGCGGGGATGATGGTTGTGGTTGTGGTGGTAGTTGTTGTGGTGGTTGTGGTTGCAGTGGTGGTGATGATGGTGGCGGTAGTGGTGGTAGCGGTGGTGATGGGGGTGGTGTTGATGGTGGGGGTAATGGTGGTTGTGAGTGTGGTTGTGGAGATGACGACGGCGATGGTGGTGGTTGCAGTTGTCGAGGTGGTGGATGCAATGGTGGTGGGAAAGGTGGAAGTGGCAGTGAATTTCAAAGATAATTTTTTTTAAATGTTCGGCTCATTTTTTCAAAAAAGTAATCAGTAGTACATTTCTATAGGAGACTTTATCTTTTTTAAATATTAAACAAAAGCAGATGGATTGAGTAATGTAGAAAACACTTCAGGATATGATGGACAAAAACAACCATTCTGTTTCATCCAAAACGACTAGAACAAAGAAATCTATAGACCAATCATGGAAGTATAAAATTCTTGATCTTAAACAACTGTATTCATATAAGTTGAATACTTTTTAGAAACTACACAAAGATGAATGACATCAAAGAAGAAAAGAAAGAAACTTAACATTTTGAGCTTATCCTCTAAAAAATCTATCAACTGAATTGCTATGCCGATCATAGGACAAGCAAATGTTAGTTTTAGTTCATTTTTTGTTTAGTTAGTAAGAGTTTTACAGCACTTGAAATACAAATAGATCTAGGTCATAAAAGTGCCAAAGATTAGAGATGTTACTAGAGAGTAACATACAAAGTAAAGAAGGAGGAGACATTTATTGAAGACAGATGTTCGATAGAAAAGAAGGAGTGAACCACACCAGAGCACCCGTCAGTCACACACAGCAAATGTTACCACCATTCTGATATTACTTTACGTAATACAGCTAATCAGAATTTTCAAAAAAGCGGATAAACAGGTGAGAGCAAGGAAGTCAAAAAGTTATGTAAAACACAATACCTTAGTATCTTCCTTGAATTTTTCCGCAGCTGACATGAATTCTGGTTTTGCTTTCTTGCAATGTCCACACCCTGAGAGATGACAAATGAAAGGCATTAGGTTTAGTAAGAGTTTACGGCACTTGCAACTTATGGGTCATGTAAGTGCTAAAGATTAGAGGTGTTACACGAAAAAGGAGGAGAGATAAGGACGATAGATGTTTGATTGGAAAGAAGGAGCAAACCACTCCAAATGGGTGACATTCTTGGTGAGACAATGCACACATTTGTCAGCTGACACATGTCAATGCACGACTGCAATTGCAAAGAGAGCAAGAAATGCACACATCAATCATTTCTTTGCTATGTGAAATTCTAAGACAACAACTTTTCTCTTCCACGATGGATGTCACCTTGGACAATTTAAACTGTATCTATATATCATACTGGGCTGCATCTTGGAATAGCGAGCTTGCGTAGTACTTAATACTGTAAAAGTGAGCATTTCTGACATTGGAATAGCAAGTCTTTTTTTTACCATAGTTCTTTATAAATCTTTGCTACAGGTAAAAGTAGCTGGTATTGTTCAGTATCGACGAGTATTTTAATTGAAGTATCAAACTTCTGTTTGATACTCACGGAAAATTCTTAAACATCTAGAACTTCGTAAAATTATTGTAAGCATACGTAGTAACATCTGTCACAAAGTACAGTTACATATGTCCCTTGTTTTGCTGCTGTCACTAATACGTGTCAAAACAAGGGTCTGGCTGGAAAAATGTAAACAACAAAATAGTATCCTGAACACCGCTTCTCGCAGCAGTTGAGACATTTTAAAAATACAAAGATCAATAACTATGAGAAACAACACACTGAGGGTGATTTTAAATCACCGTGGAGGTAGTGTCAGATCGCTTCGGTTTATGCTTCATTCTGGGCGACTTTGCTGTCACTGTCAAGAGCCATAGAGAAGTTTGTCACAAAGAAAGAGAGAAACGGAAGATTGGTTTAATTTAATTTAATTAATAGTGGAGGGTTTTACGGCGCTCGCAACTGCATGAGGTCATATGAGCGCCAAGGGGTGAGTGTCAACAGAGAAGTCTTTACAGGGAATCAGACTTAGACTGCTCACCTCTCTAGCTTCAACAGCACAAGATCTGCTTCGACTATCAAGGCACCCCAAAATAGCAGGTCACAAGAGAGTGACAAACATACAAAAGAAGTAGAGGAATATGACAATAGTAAGGATCAGGAAAGAAAAAGCAGCAGTTCCCTGTTGTAGATTAGGCACAGTTATGAGCGTGACATGAATCAGCCCATTTACAATTCTACTGTGCTTGAACGAGAAATGTCCCCCCTTTGGGAATGGCCTAAAGACACTACAGTCAGTGGCACTGCCTCGGGGGGTAGGAAGATTGGTGTCATGGTAGACGATGATTGATTCGAAAAAGACAGTCTATTAAATTTGCTGCACAGTAGGATGAAAATTATTTCTAACAAATGATCACAGATGGAACAATTTTTTTCATGAACCAAGCGAATATAATCACAGCGCAGTAAGAGAAGCAATAAAGCAATAGAAGCTTGGAGGGAAAAGCGTATCACACAGTCTCAAGCCTGTTGGACACAGAGAGGAAATATGAAGAGTAGGAAGTGATTACCCTAAAAAGAAAATAATCGTGTCTCTGCATAGGAGCTGTTGGCTATTCCAATGTTAGACAATCCATTGTTCGGTGTACAATAGAGATAAAATCGCTCGCTATTCCAGGGTCATCCAATCTTTCTGCTATAAAGGGGATTTTGGTTAGTTTTAGTAAGAATTATACAGCACTTGCAACACAAATACGTAACATAAGTGCTGAAGATTAGAGGTGTCGCTAGAGAGTAACAAAAAAAAAAGGGAAGTGAGATAAGAACAATAGATGTTAGATAGAAAAGAACGAGCAACCAAAATAAAGCACCCACCAACCACCCACGCCATAACATGATGCTGGATAAAAACTTACAAGGAGCATAGAACATGATCAGGCAGTGTTTCTTCTTCTTGAGAAAACCTTTGAAGGAATCATCGGTGAGGTGAACGACCTCACTCTCCACCTCTTCCCACTTGGGCTCTGGGGGTGGGGGAGGTGGGGGCTCCTTGGGACTGGAACATAATCAGAACAATAGTAATAATCGTCATCATCACCATAATAAAAACAATATAGTAACATAATCCTCATCATCATCATAATACAGTGGGTGTCGCATTCAACAAGAAGTCGGCTCCAACGAGGCAATCATAGACCCCCCATTTTTCCTCTATATCTCTTTGAAAATGTACGTCCGCTCCAACGAGGTTGCAAACTGACCGGAGTCGCTGTCAACGAGGTCGCGATAACCAAGTAAAAGCAATTAGCGGCCCCAAAAGCGAAGAATTTTTCTCCTTTCTAACCACCTCACGCGAAGCACAAGACCCATCCTCGATTCCTAACACACTGTATTGCTACATCTTATGTGCCTCCTAATATGGACTCCAAAGTCAGGAGCATGGGCGAGGGTTAGCCTACGGTAGGGATGGGAGGGGGTGGGTGGGAACGCGATGTGGGCTGTGTGAAACTGGATGAACTCTGGATGGGTAGGTCTAGATCGAGACCTTCATTTTTTTTTCAATTTTCTTTTCTTCCCTGATCAGAAAATCCAAGCTCCCGGCTTTACTTTATGTAGATCTAAGCCTAGATGTGAGAGGGTATGTTTCCATACGAGAAGGGTTTCGAAAAAAAAAAATTAATGCAAAAATGACGTTCAGAACGCAGCTCAAACATGCGCACTCTGATGCTGTTTGAGATTTTCTTCATCACAGGGAACAACTGTTTTAATTACTGGTATTGGTACATCAGGTAATGTAATAACTTGTCTACTCTCTTTTCTTTAGCCTTGGTCACGTTCAACGAGAGTTCGGATCCAACGAGGACAACAAGCCGGTACCGGCAACCTCGTTGAATGCGACACCCACGGTAACAATAAAAACAACAATAAATAGCATTCAGCACATATTCAACAGTAAGCTTTACAATCTATATTACGACCCCAAACAGATCCTCGAACACTCAGAAACATTTGCTCTGCTTTCCGGGAAGCATACAAAAATCATTGTGTTCGGAGACAGAAATGGCTTAGAAACAGTTTCTTTGTTTTTTAAAACTATTTTTCTTTTTATAATCCTGGTCTTCCCCTAGCACCTCTCAATTCAGGTTCTCCAAGTAAGTATCCTCCGGGTTTACCCCTCCTTGTTTGCCTTCTAGTTTTTCGGAGAAAGTAAGATGTTCATGGCCTTTCTGTCAATTCAAAGGTCCCAGAAACAGCATCTGTCTTGCCCTCACTGTTTTCATTAGTAAATGGCCCACATACGTTTAAATAAACCAATATATCTAACCAAATATACTTACTCTTTCATGAACTCAATAATCTTATCCTTGTCCCTCTCATTCACTTCAAAAGCATACTCTCCATCTCTGGGGAAAGTAATGATTAACAGAAAAAATAAATACAAATACTACAGCTCCTCCTGATATGATATTAGTAGGAAGAAAAGGAAGCTGTGTTACATTGCAGCGGCCATAAACAAAAAGCAACTGGCTGAGAATCCAAGCAAAAATGTTATAGCATAGATAGCAAAGATAAACCAAATCTCCCAAAATGTTTTTAAAAAATGTATATAAATATTCACAATTTGTTGTAAACTGCTATTCCCCACCCCCATTCCTGTATAGAGGTTATGAAAGCAGACATGAGGAGTGAGATATACAATATTCCAAAATTAAAAATTTAAAGAGTGTATTCAAGTTGTGAAAGCAGAATATTATTTACTTTCAAAGAACATTTTATAAGAAAAAAAATTATCCTGAATTAACACTTAATTCATCTCACTGAGGACCATCATCTCTTTACATTGGAAAGTTCACAACACTTGACCCGATTGCTGACATTCCAAGGGCTAGTGCTACTGACAAGTACTCTCAACCCTTTCACGTGAGAACTTGATTTGTTTTAGTAGAGGTTTTACGGCGCTCGCAACTGCGTAAGGTCATATGAGTGCCAGAAGATTAGAGGTGTCACAAGAGAGTAACATACATAAAAAAAAGAAGAATGGGAGAAAAGGACGAAACATGTTTGATAGGAAAGAAGGAGCAAACCACACCAGAGCACCCGCCAACTACCCACTCACGTAAAAACTAAATGACCTAGGAGTAACAGACTATGCGTAGAAAGTGCTCACAATTTCTCACTTGACAGCATACATCACACAAATTTTAGATGTTTTACACCCAAATCCATCTCCCCCCCCCCCCCCCCCACCCTCAACCTCCGCACAATTTGATCATTTAGGTGGAACTTTCCACATAAAAGTTCAATGTGCACTAGCTAGAGTCTTGTAAACCAGTAGAATATGTATATGTTTACAGTAATCCTGTTTAAGACGGCCACCCCTTGTTCAGGAGAAAAGTGGCTGTTTTAGACAGGTGGCCACCTTACACAGTGCCATTCTAATGTGTAAAAAATAGGCAATGGAGAAAATGGGAGGTGGCCGTTTGTACACGCAATTGTCTTATACAGGTGGCCGTTTGAACTGACAAGTGTGTTACACAGACAAGTGTGTTATACAGGCGGCCATTTGAACAGACAAGTGTGTTATACAGGCGGCCATTTGAACAGACAAGTGTGTTATACAGGCGGCCGTTAGAATAGGTTGATTCAACTGTACGATTGCCAACACATCACAAGTAAATTTCCCTCATTGTGTTGTTACAGAAAGATAAAAATAATTAACAGCATTTGTATACTAATAATACTAAACTGAGATATTTTAATAAATTCATATTATAGTTTGTGTCTCAAGAGCGAAAGGTACCAGTAATGCCATTAGACTCAGCTCTATGAGACCAGCACAGAGCACTGAAGGTTCTCATTTTCTAGAGACAGTGACGATATAGTACTGAAATATTCCAAAAACCTAAAGAAGCCCTTCCCCACCCCACCCCATCCCAAAAACTTTTTACAAAAATTCTGCATTACATCTCAGGGCTTGTACTTTCAGCAACTTGTCTACACTGCAACAGTACCAGCATCTAACATCTTTTACAACCAGATTTCCTTTTTTTTCTTCTTCAAATTCCCAACAAAATCAGTTTGCTTGTTTTAGTAGAGGTTTTACGGCACTCGCAACTGCATAAGGTCATATGAGTGCCAGAAGATTAGAGGTGTTACAAGAGAGTAACAAACATAAAAAAGAAGGAGGGGAGATACGGACGATAGATATTTGATAGGAAAGAAGAAGCAAACCACACCAGAGCACCGTACCCGTCAACCACCCACACAAAATCAGTACAAGAATCACATCTGCAGAGCAGGTAACAATTCTCAGAGCACTTACTTGAAGTATCTCACTGTTAGTTCGGCATGTCCATGAGAGAAAGGGATGGGGGTATGGAGAAAAACAGATATGCAAATGATTTATCTGCATACAAAGAAAATAGTGATTCACTCGTGCCGAAATTTAAAAAAAAAATCGAAATCAGAATGAGAGAAATAAGAAAACCAGGAGATTTTTTAAAAAGCAAATGCTCCCACAAAATTCATCCACCAAAGCAAAACCAGGGGCCATATTCATAATCTTTCTTTTTAACGCAGCAAGCTATTGACATTACTATCAGACAAAAAATCTAAAACCATTTATTACATATGGTGGGGGGTGGGGGTGAGGGGGGGGGAGAGTTCATTTTAGTACTAAAGACACCCTATCTGATTGTACAAAATATGAGCGGAGTTCCAATTTATTGTGCGTAAAGACCTGCATGTAGAGTGAGGCCAACTGCATTGAAGAGATGATGAATAAGGCCACATTTTAACAAATGTAATCATCATGTAAAAAAGCAATCAGAACTTTCAATAAAGAGTAAAATTCATTTTGAAACATAACTACATTCACAGGAACAGAAATGAAAGGAAATAATGTGCTTGGCTATATATTTGAATCTTTACCAACAAAATACATCCTCTAGAGAACGAGGAAGAAGAAAGACATCCTCTATTTCAGAAACAAGAAATGTAACAATTTCCTGGTTATTTTTTTTTGTCCCTCTTGTCATGCTTTGTATAGTAAAAGTTTTACACTATTTACAACACAATTAGGCCATATGAGTGCCAAAGATGAGAGGTGTTACTAGAGAGTATCATAAAAAGATAAGAAGGAGAAGAGATATTGACAATAGATATATGTTTGAAGGCAGGAAGAAGCGAACAACACCAGAGCGCCCATCAACTACACACTCTGCCTTCTCTTTTCATAGCAAACAGCAGCTTAAGCATAAGACAATGGGACTGAATAGTTTAACCTCTTTGTGATCTGTATGACATACGCCGCTCATCATTTTTTCTTACACGGCGAACAAGCCAAGAGGCTGCTGTGACATACAGCGTTTATCATGCATTGCGAAATGTGAGGCCATGATAAAGAACGGCATCTGTCATAGGTTGCATTCTGCATACTGCTTCTATTAGATGCATTTCGTAAAATTAATCGGGGATTCGCATTCAGGAATATTTTTTCCGTACAAAGAAATCTTTTCCGTTTGGATATAGTTAGTACTATTTAAAAACCAGGTCTAATTATAGGAAACTGACCACAAAATCTAGAAGTGACCTTGTGTCCCAAAGAGGTTAATGAATAATATACAACCCCTATAACAATGCATTTGTCTCTGTCCCGTATGAAATCACTGCCTGGGTGAAGTAAGAGAATCTTGAAATACTGAACAAAAATGAAAATAAATGTCTAGCTCACTAAAACACTCTTATAAAGGGATTAGTTCACTAACAAGAGCATAGCTGCCAACTTTTCAAAACAAAACAAAAAACTAGACTAATTCACAGAAGGTCAAGATGGTCTGCACTGGGCATGTAACCTCCTCCAAACCCGTTACACAATTTTCTGCATTCAATAAATACAAGCTATTTAAAGTAGAACTCCAAAAATAATGTCAGAAATGTTCGGTAAAGGTCTTTCTAATTGATTTAGGGGCTTTGTTCTCAATGTTAATCCCAAATCCAGTCTTGAAATGTCATAACTTATCTACAGCATCTGCAAGTACGTAAAGAGGAATACTAGAAAATGGAGAATACATATTTTCTGACACAAAAATGGATATCCGTACTCAGATCCTCAAAAATGTATTGATATGGTTTTTTTATGCACTGACTGGCAGCTATGCAAGAGAGCATTGACAACAAGCCAGAAAATTGCATCAAAACTATTATAAAAACAATCGCAGTTTGTTTGTTTTTTAAAGAAAGACAAAAGAATAATGCAAGCAATAAAAAAATTCTCAAAAAAAGTTGTCTTTTTTTCCAACTGACAATATCAAAGACTGCAAACTACAAGATAGCTTACTTCCCTAACCCTTTCTATACCATGAATGTTGCATTGCCTGGTACGTCAAGAAGTGAAAACAGTGCCCAAGATGAACCAGGCACGCCAGTATGGCACATAACAGGTAAAAACAAGCATCCTCACCAATCTCCGCCTCATTCATGCAGATAAAAATGTATTATTTCATTTCTCAGAAATAGTTTGGTCTTATTTCTTTTCCGAATTGTCTTTGCTTCCACTCTACATTATCAAAACAGGTCACTCTCAAAATAGTATCTAATACATAACAATATAGATATTCCCATGGGTGATAAAGAGGCCTCTTTTAGTTCTTGTCTTCAAGTGCAAAATCTGAAACCGACATCAGAGATTATGATTCGCTGCTTACTTCTGTTTGGATGCTCTCAAAACCCTATATCATCCAATCTTCTCTTCTCATCTATCTGCTCACATTTTTTTCAGAAATCTTTTCACAGTGTCTCAAGAATGAAGAGAACCATCTCGTAGTATATAATCTTTGATAACAAATAATTGTTGCTGTCGCGAGCAATCCACTTAAATTCAGATTTTGAGGAATTTTTATTTTTTTACACCTTCACTAATCTCTATATATAGATCTAAATCAATGATGCACTTTTCAACATCACCAAAATGAAGTAATGCAAGCAATAAAATATTTCTTTTTAAAAAAGTTGTCTTTTTTTTCCAACTGATAATATCATAGACCGCAAACTACAAGATAGCTTACAATTTTCTTGCTTTGTTTGACTCCTGATAGGAACTACACAAGAAAAACTATTTTTTTTGTCTCCTGTGTACAAATTACCCAAATGGACTAAAGAGGATTGCTTGTGACACCAGCGAAATGAAGTGACAAGGATAGTACAAAGCTCTCCTTGGAACAGAAACATTAGTACACGTCAGTATTTGTCCCAAGTCTTACCTGTGGGGAAACCCTTCACTCCGTTATCTTGAGCAATCTTCTTCTCTTTGGTGGCGTCAACAGCTGCTAAAATTCCTGTGATCTAAAAGGGAAGAGTTTTAAGCTTTTAGTAAGAGTTGTTTGTTTTTGTAAGTGTTTTACGGCACTTGCAACACAATAAGGTCATATAAGTGCCGAAGATTGAAGGCATTACATGGGAGTGACAAGCACAAAAAAAACAAAAAAAAACAGAGGAGAGTTTAAGGATGATAGATATTTGATAGGAAAAGAAGGAGCAAATCACACCAGAGCACCCACCAACCACCCACTTAGTAAGAGTTTTATGGCACTTGCAACACAAATAGGTCACGTGCCAAAGGCTAGAGATTTTTTAAAATAGTTTTATTAGAGGTTTTACGACGCTCGCAACTGCATAAGGTCATATGAACGCCAGAAGATTAAAGGTGTTACAAGAGAGTAACAAACAAAAAAGAAGAAGGGGAGATCAGGACGATAGATGTTTGATAGGAAAGAAGGATCAAACCACACCAGAGCACCCGCCAACCACCTACAAAGGTTAGAGATGTTACTAGAGAGTAACGCACAAAGAAGAGAAAAGGGAGAGATGAGGACCACAGATTTTTAATAGGAAAGAAGGAGCAAACCACATCTGAGTGCCCACCAACTACCCACGAAACTCTGGGCCACTTCTTTATCTGTGTGATTTAAGAATAGCACATCAACATAACAATGGTGATTTAGTGCGGGGAAAACAAGAAAAACAATCAGAAACAAAAGAGGAAAAGAAATAAAGTAGGAAGGACCTATCAGTGGCACACTCCAACCACCTACCAACAATTAAAGTAAACCCCCCCCCCCAAAAAAACCCAAAAAACAAAAAAAACTTTTACAGCACTAGCCTCACAATTACGTCATATAAGGGCCAAAGATTAGAGGTGTTACAAGAGAATTTTGTTTTAAACCCCCGCAAAAAAGGAGGAGAGATAAGGACTACAGATGTTTGATAGGAAAGAAGGAGCAAACCACACCAGAGCACCCACGAACCACCCACAAAAACAACATCGTAAACAACAACCCCCATCACCAGCTATACTCACCCCCTCATCTTTGAGTTGCTGAGCCGCCTCTGTATAACCAGGCTTCATTTTCTTGCAGTGACCACACCCTGCAAACAAACACAACAACACGATAGTACGAATTTTTATGACCCAATTCACACATTTTGAAAGTGAATTTGAAGCTTCTATTTCCGTTACCCTGATAGATCTTAGGAGTAGTTGACGACTGGTCTTCAACCTGATTTCAGGCTTAAATCTACTTTTGATAGACAAAAATGTCCGCAGAAATGATTTGAAGGAACTGGGTCCAGCGCAAGACTGACTCTTGTTAGCTGTTTTGTGTTACAGCAGCAAGATAGACATTTGGCAAATATATATACGTAGGCTAAATAAATATGTCGATACAAGGTCTAGACACTGTTGTGCTACTGTCACAGCTGAAGGCTTGGGCTTCCACTTCCCACAGCCTTTACAAGTTCACATATAAAAATTGTGTACAAGGTTTTTTTCGCTCACTACTTGAATTTGCGACTTAAAGAAATGCGCAAATTCAATTCCTTAGCTAAACGATAAAAGGGGTGCTAATGCACTAAAAGATATTTTCACAAACTCACATGGTGCATAGAACATGACTAGAACAGACGGATTCTGCTTGACAAACTCTTCAAAAGAGCTGTCGGTGAGATGGACCACCTCACTCTTCTCATCTGCCCACTCCGCTTCTTTTTCCGGTTCTTTGGGAGGCTGGGGACTGTAAACAAAGACAATCTGATAGTTTTAGTTAGAGTTTTACGGCACTTGCAAAACAATACGGTCATATAAGTGCTGAAGAATAGATGAGTTCCATGAGAGTAACATATACAAAAAAGAAGGAGGAGAGATAAGGACGATAGATGTCCGACAGGAAAGAAGGAGTAAACCACCCCAGAGCACCAACCAAATACCCACAAAGATAATCTGAGTTAATGTATACAAAAACACATAATACATAATAACTTGCTCTAACGGCCACTTGTTAGTTTTGTTTGAGCGAAGAGAAGCACATTGACACAATGATGGTCATTTAGTTCGGGAAAAAGTAAGACAGACAGGAGGGGGCAGGGGTATTATTCTTTACTTTTATGTCTTCAACTGCAGGTCACCTTCCATCATCTACCAGGAGGTCCACTCGTAAAAATAATTAATAACAGGCAACATACAAACATTGCAAAAGATGAACAGAACAACAAAAACGGTAACACAATAATTTTACTTACTCTTTCATCCACGAAACAATTCCGGCCTTATTGTTCTCACCGCCATACTTGTACTTCACCTTGCCTTTTCTGAAACAGATTATCGTTTATTTGTATGTAGGACAAGTAGAGAATAGTGAGAAAGAAATAAAACGAACGTCTGCGCTCAGTTTGAGATTCCTAGAAACGTATAAGCTCAACCTGAAGAGAATACACAGACGAACGCTTGTTTAATTTGATCCTAACAATAATGATGATTGGCAATGACACAAAAAAAATTGTCCATTCCACTACAAGTAATGCATATTTATCGTGTATCACAGTTAGGTTCAGTCTTAGTAACAGCAGTTTTACAGCAATTGCAAAACAAACAGATTATATAATTGCTGAAGATTAGAGGTATTTCTAACAAAGAAAAGAAGGAGAGATTAGGACTTTACACATTAATTGATACGAAAGAAGGAACAAACCACACCAGAGCACCTGCCAACCACCTACTATACCATAGCTCGGTGAATATTTCACAAACATAGACGCCAGAACACTCTCTCATTTCTCTTTCTATCTCCCAGTCTTTTCAACGCACCTTTATTTCTCGATTCTTCTCCATTTCTAGTCACTCATACATTGCCTACTAACTTCTGTATACCACATCAAAGCATTTATAAAAACAAGATTGCTAACTTTCTCGCCTTTCTGTACACATAAAATGGGAAAAAAAGTAGGGAGAACAGAGAAAGAAAGAAAAAAAGAAAAAAAGGAAGAAAGAGAAAAAGAACCAACAAACAAACAAAGCAATTCTCATTCCAATGCCCATCAAGTGAGAAAAATAACAATAAAACAAAAACAGAAGATGGAAACAGGAACAGAAATAAAAACAAGATGGACTGAAAGAAAGAAAAAAAGACAGAAAGACAGAAAAAAAAAGAAAGAAAAAACATTTTTAGGAGTTCAAACAAATGAAAACATAAAATAACGGAAGAAAGAAAAAAGGAAAACAAACAAAGCTTGGGAGCTCAAACAAAACAAAACATTCCAAGAGTTACACAGACCCTGTTTTGTTTGTTTTTTTAAGTAGAGGTTTTACGGCGCTCGCAACTGCATAAGGTCATATGAGCGCCAGAAGGTTAGAGATGCTACAAGAGAGTAACAAACATAAAAAAGAAGAATGGGAGATAAGGACGATAGATGTTTGTTCGGAAAGAAGGAGCAAACCACAACAGAGACCCCGCCAACCGCCCACACAGACCCTGTGTACGACTTACTCAAAATAAATAAGTGTTGGGAAGCCAGTGATGTTGTACTGCATCCGTAAGGACATCATTGGTGGCTTATCCACATCTACACCTACCAGTGTCTGAAACAGTTTTAAGGCCAGTTTTAGGGCAAATTTTATGACATTTGCAACACAATTAGGTCAAATAAGTATTTAAAAAAGATAAGATGTGTTACTAGAGTTAGGGAGAAGTAGCAAACATGAACCCAATGAACCCTGACCTCCTGAGCCCAAAATAACCCTGTCCCCTGACTTTCTAAGTAAAAAATGCCTACATGGCGACAAACAAGTTTATTCAAACCAACTGCCTCTTCTTGGAGCTGCTTGACTACTACAAGAGTTACCATGAATCTACAACTCTTTTTGACGTCATTTCCCCCCCTTCTTATCCATGTACGGATTACTGTTCTATGGTAGACTATAACACACAGATAAATCGGTGCTTCGGGGCAGGGGCAAACAACTTGCACACCGATATATCGGTGTCACAGGTTCATTGGGTTAAGGAGTAAGTCATAGAAATGCTTCAACTTTACAAAGCTTTTGCCCATTCAGTACATCCAGTTGAATCTCATTTAACCTCTTCACTACCACGCCCGTAGAATTTACGGGCCTGAACTGTGTAGCGCTGTGCCTAAGGGCCGTAGCATTTACGAGACTGTGACAGAGGTTGTTTTAATACCAATTATAAGGGAAGTTACGGTTAAAATCTTGTAATTATTATTCGGGTGCCTTCCCTTTATCATAACTTTATGTTCACCAACATTTTCCCCGCATTTGAAAGCGTCAGGTTCAGATTTTAGCTCAAAGAGAAGATTAGATCTAGATCTAGATCCAACACATCGACAGCACGAAAATGACTTCTTGGCAGTAAATACAGATGGGCTTACATGAATATATATGGATTGTACGAGGGTTGTACAAGGCAGGAAAAGCCTCTTTACCTGCAGACACTCACACAACATGCATTCCCCTTTTTGGGGGGTCTCACTTTGTCATTACTCAAATGTGTGTTGTTTTATGTTTTTTGGTGGCGTTTTGGCATCATGTTACCAACTCCAACTTTTCTCCATCTATCTCTCAATGAAATCCCCCTAAAATTATACCAATAGAAACGTGGTTCAATGTAAATTGTACATGAAGAAATTCATGAGGAAATATTCATAAATAAAAAAGTTATGGGAGGAAGAGTGGGGTCACCCCTGAGCTGTCTGGTTCTTGGGATTTCCCCTGGCACAGGGGCCTATTTACCTGCGGCATTGAAGGGGTTAATGACCACCTACCCAGATAATCACCAATACAAATAACCACATCTCATTTCACTCCTTACATTTATTTTATATTTATAACAGCACTGTCTAACATGACCACTTCTTTTTCCACAATGGGTGGCACTCTTGGACAATTTCAACTGTATTTTTAACAGACAATAGCAAGATTTGCCCCATGACACATTAACACTTTTCACCTACGCAGCGCACAGAGTGCGCAACACATATCCCCACGGACCAGGATACAATTGCGGTACATGCTATATCCCACCGTCGCCAATCGGCGTCTGGTGGGGGCATAGTGTTAATGATCTTTAATCAATTACCCCCCCCCCCCCCCCCCAAATAAAATCTTAATCGACCATAGTTTTACCCAGAAGTTTTGACGGGGCTGACACTGAACACAAGATATTTCCTTGTTGCCAAAAGAACTAGCAATCACGCAGAGACCCTCAGCCATACTTACATATTTATTTTTTAACTCTGTAGCAGCACCTGAATAATCTGGCTTTAACCTCTTGCAAAAGCCACACCCTGAAAATATAAAACAAGCATTGAAAATGGGTTTTAGTTTAGTTAGTTTTAGTCAGTTTTATGATACTTTTAACACAATTAGGCCATATACAAGTGTCAAAGATTAGAGGTGTTACTGGAGATTAATATACACAGATATAATAATGATGATAATAATAATGATTATTATTATATTAATAACGATAATAATAATAATAATAATAATAATAATAATAATAATAATAATAATAACAACAAAACAACAACATAATAAAATAACAGCATTTTCTAAAACAAATCTTAAAGAACAATATCAGGAATAAAGTTTCAAACTCTAATGTCAATACTCACAAGGTGCATAAAACATGACTAAAATAGGGTTTTTCGTCTTCTTCAGTAACTTGTTAAAACCCTGAAAAAGAACAGAAAAGTTTAGTTTTAGTAAGAGTTTCAACGCACTTGCAACACAAATAGGTTGTATAAATGCCGAAGATTAGAGGGGTTACTATAGGAGAGTAACATATCAAGAAAACGAGATGGTCAAATAAGGACAATAGATTTTTTTATAGGAAAGAAGGAGCAAACTACACAAGAGCACCTGCTAACCACCCACCAAAGATTTTTAAACTGGCCCTCTCACCAAAAAAAATTAAAAAATCATAACTTTCCATTCCTGACCCAGCAGTCACTATTAATAAGATAGCCTTCCAAAGGTCAAAGAGATTTTTAGATGGATCTAGGGGTTTTTAGGAGCGTCACATGATCAAACATCTCACCTCCTCTGTGTGTGTGTGTGTGTGTGTGTGTATGTGAGTTTGTGTGTGTGTGTGTGTGTGTGTGAGTGTGAGTGTGAGTGTGTGTGTGTGTGTGAGTGTGTGTGTGTGTGTGTGTGTGTGTGTGTGTGTGTGTGTGTGTGTGTGTGTGTGTGTGTGTGTGACAGTAGGGGGGGGGGCATATACACATGATCAAACATCTCACCTCCTCTGAAGATATGTGGACAACATCATTGGCTGTAGGATCTTCCTCCCAGGGTAAATCCCCAGTCGGATCTAATAAGAAATTGACCATAGACTGAGGACAGAAAAAAAACCACACACATGCATGTGAACATCATTCCTGTACCTTTGCATCAAATAAGTTTTATACTCCTTTCAACGCTATTAGGTCATTCAAGAGGTAGAACTTTGGGAGTCTTGAAAACACAGGGCATTCAGCAGCAAACTGGACCTTAGCCAGATTAAAGTAGAGAACAGTCCTAGATCAAGTCAGTAGAATCAACAAAAACACGAAGCAAACGTTACCCACCAGGCCTTAGATTGTACTCCAAATGGAAAGAGAAATAAAGGAAGACCTAAAAGTGCTTAGGGTACTTCAGATTCAAACCTAAAAAATATGGCATACAGCTGGAGAGAGGTGGAGAATATAGCGCAGGACAGAAGTACATGGTAAAGTTCTTGTTAGTGGCCTTTAATCTAGAACACCGTGAAAAAAGCTGCTGCTGCTGCTGTTGCTGCTACTGCTGCTGCTGACGATAATGATGATGATAATGATGATGATAATGATGATCAAATGTGGAGACCTTGGAGAAAAGTCAGCAATCTGATTGACCAATGAAAATGTCCAATCAAGGGCTTTAAAACATTTGAAATTTAAGTCTATCCCTTCATTCGCTCTCTTCTCCCCTCTCCCCTTCACAAACTACTGGATCTCCTACTACAACTTCTTCCTCCTGTCCTAACCACAGACAATACTCTGTCCTGTACTGCAGCCAAGAACAAAAGAACAAATGTCGAAGACCACCACCTTTTCTAACATGTTATGGTGCCAACGGCCTACTACAGGATTAACAACGCCTCTACTCACCCCCCCCCCCTCCAAAAAAAAATGTAATTATAATTTTAAATTTCAATCCCATGTGTTATGTGGCAGGAAATTAACATTCAGACCATTGGTCAAAAACTAAAAGCGTAAAAGAAAATTTCCCACTTCCAGACCACAGTTTTGCACAGAACGGACAAACACAAGCAGTTCTGAATATATTTTAGTTTCATAAGAGTTTTACGGCACTTGCAACACAATAAGGTCATATAAGTGCCGAAGATTAGAGGTGTTACAAGAGAGTAACCAACACAAAAAAGAAGGAGGGGAGATAAGGACGATAGATGTTTGATAGGAAAGAAGAAGCAAACAACACCAGAGCACCTGCCAACCACCCACTCTGAATATATCTACAGCCCAACCACCTATAATGATGGAGAAAAGTGGTCATCTTGGACAGGTGGTCCACTTGGACAGTGTCATTATAATTATAATACAGAAGAAAAAAAAAGTGAGGGTGGAAGTATGAAGTGGTCGTTTGTACAGGTGGTTGTCTTGGACAGGTGGTTGTTAAAGCAGTTTCAGTTGTATTATGATTTTTCCTTGAATCAGTTACTTACTTTGACGGCAAGTTTTCGGTCATACTCTTTGTTAAATTCACCATCCCTGGGGAGACGAAAATACAAGAGAACAATAAACCACAACACACATGTGCACACAGAAAACAGACATAGAAGTTTGTTGATGGGGACGTAAAAACACCTACATTTAAAAAGTTCTTTAAAAACCAAAAACCAAAAAAATAAATCAAACAAGAAAGTCTTGAATTATTACCCACGTGTTAGAAATGTCAGATTTACCCCCCCTAAGAGTGGTACATTCTGGACAAGTTAAACAAAGTCAACAAAATGTAATACTGGGGTAAAAGTAAAGTATAGCCCCATCCCCACCACCCATTTTGTACTGCTTGACTTAGCAGTAAGAGTGGAGTTGCAGGAAAAGAAAATGGCATGCCATGATCGTCAAGACATGCAAAATGGGTAATCATACTTTACTTCTACTTACTGGATGAATCATAAAAAAGGAAACATATGGGGTTTAGAATAAGACCTTGAACAAAACATTAATTGATACTGCAAGCTGAGATATCGGTGGGTTTTTTTTTGGGGGGGGGGGGTGTCAATGTAAGCTTAAAAGCCCCCATTGGCACGTAAATAGGACCTTATATTATCTTTTTTTAAATTCCCAGAGAAATATTGGATTTGACATTTGACAAACATCAGGTGAACACATAAAAGTAACATTACACTTTTTAAAATCTAATCACTCACTTGTAATGTCGTAAATCATACGCTGTCGGTGAAAATTTCAACTTCTTGCAGAATTTTTTATCTTCTCTGGGGATCAGAGAAAAGGAAAAACAATGTCATGCTTCTTTGGAATTCATTCACTTCTTCTTTGATGAAAACAGCCAACTTCAAAACACAATATAGACAACAGTTCTAAAGAATTGAAAATATTTCAGCCCACTTAAGACTGAGATACTAACAATAAAAACTTCCCTACCCAAGGAACAAGCAAGTGTCTCCTGCCTTCATGCTGCCACATTCCGATTTTAAAGGATTTTTTTATATACTGAAAAGAGTGTTTTCAGTAATAGTAGAAATTAATTTTGAATTTTGCTCAGGTGGCAGCTGAGGCTTTTTATTTTCGATTCTAAGACCACCAAGGAATCTTTAATGTACACAACTTGCCCACTGGACCTCTAAGATTTTTTACCCTCATCCAAGAAGGCTGGGTGTTACATCACATTTATCCAAAGATCAGAAGAAAGACAGCAGTAAGAGGGAGCCAAGAGTAACAGAGGAAGGAATCAGTAGTGAGGAAGAGAGGAGCAGAGAGTAGACAGGGGGTGAGGAGATAGAAGAGATGAAAGCAGATGACTAGACTAGACTAGAGAACAGGAAGGGACAAAGGAGAAAATTTATAGAGTAGAAAATATTTTCAGCACTGTCAGAGGTATCGTTTCACAGATCTTTTAACTGGTAAGCAAACTTCGCACCTCTCGACCACAAGAGCCCCATTTAAAGTGGAGTTAAATACAAATTATACTAATAAAAAAGCCAAACAGATACATAAAGAGAAGTTCCTTACCCGCAGTTGACGTAAGCCAGAGTGGCCTTGCCCTTCATCTCTTGGGCAACTTCGTCAAACAGCTTCATCACTTTGGCTGTGGCCTTTTCTGAAAGAGAAAGCACAAGAATAATCTACTACGAGATAAAAACACTGCCGTCTGTCTATTGTATGTTAACACAATTCATTATACATTATCATCTTTGCTGCATGCATTATATCTATGTGACAGCACTTTGATGCGACACGTCGGTGCTGTACTATCGGCAAATATTTGCACTTCCTACAGACGCGAGAAGCCATGAGATCGACCCTGAGATTACACATTCCAAGGAAAGGGAGAAACGAGGTGGCAACAGAGGGACCATTGAACATAGTTCCAGGAGCACAAAGCAAGGCTACGGTACTGTAATTTTTTTTATAGTAGAGGTTTTACGGCGCTTGCAACTGCATATAAGGTCATATGAGCGTCAACGTACTGTCATTTAATACAAGAGAAGTATTCAAAATGATGCAGCTATAATAATATTTTCACAGTCATTCCTATGTAATTCCTTTTCAGCTCTTTTCTCAAACAGTCTTCTGATACATCAGCATCTACACTCCAGACGTCAAACTCAAGGCCTGCGGGCCACATCCAGCCCCAGGAACAGCTCTATCCAGCTTGAGAGAGAATTTTAGGAAGTCCGTCTCAAGAATCTCCATAACATAAAACCTAAATCCAAACATAAACGAACTTAATGCCAAGAAAAGATATTACTCATCCATCTCTGACAAATAAGCAAAAGAATGATAACTAATAATTAATACATATGACATAGATAACCCATATTCAGTTAACAGTTACAAAGCGCCTCTTCCTGAACCTTTATTTCCCTGGTTACTTCCCTTGAACCGCAAAGCAACAAGATGAACATAAGAACAACAGACATTTTCCAGTCAGACGACACATAATATTGAGCTATATACCAAAGTCAAATTGTTACACTTGGAGAACTACAAGACAACATCATCAGGTTGACTGCTTCGTGAAAGACTGTCGTACACCATTTTGAAAAGTGACAGTCTTACACTGAGCTGTAGAGATGTCATAGAAGGTGATTTACCTACCTGACTCAGCACAAATGACCAACAGATTCGTTTTGGTTCGGAGAAGCTTTTTGAACTCCTTGAAGTCCTCAACACGAATGATGAGAGACTTATGGTTTTTCTTGTTTTGTGCATGGCTGTAGTATGGGACCATCAACTGTCGGACAAAACAAACACAAATGAATTTGATTATAAAAGCCAGCCCAGTACTAATGGATATAGTCTATAGTCAAACTTGTCCAAGACAAACACCCATTATCAAAGACAAAAGTGGTCATCTCAGACACTCTTGGACAGTGTCATAATAAACAAAAAAAAGTCTTCCCCCAAAAAAGAGAGACTACGACTGATCGGGTGGGGT